AAAACGTTTCTACAAAGACTTAACTGCTATCAGAAATAGGTTTTCTTTCTATAGCATTTTATAGGGCAATCATTTCAGAGCACATAGAGCTCAGAATTAGATCACGATGTCTGGAAATGTAAGACCGTTAGGGCAAGCCCTTCGCAATGCTAGTTTCCCTGGGTGAGAATATTGTTCAAAATGTAGCTCTGGGTGGGAATTATTCTGTTAATTTCACTTTCATACTATAGTCGATTTCATTTCTTTTCTGAAGAAGGATTATATCTTAGTCCAAAGAGCAGCTTATCCACCATGGTTTAAGATTCACAACAACCAAGTAAAACTCCCCACCTAAGAAGGCTACCCTGCCAGGATTTTATGTTAAATCTTTATTGTTTTCAAAGCTATTATCTCCTTGATGTAACTTCCTTCATAACGCTCAGAAATATTTACAAGTTAACAACATATTTAATATTCATCCATTCAGTTCTCCTCATGCCTTCCCATGCCATTTTACAGGTTTAATCACCTTTTAACTTCTATATAGTTTACCTATTTATTATGCTTATTACCAATTTCCCCCAATAGAAGGTAAACTTGGTGTCCCCAACACCTACAATCATTTCCATCTATAAGAGGCCATTCACTGAATATTTGTTTATAGAATAAATGAAAATACATATTGAATATTTTGTATTTCAGTGTATTACATTAATTCACATATAGTTGTGCAGAATAATTTTCCATTCTGTTCCTGTTTCTCTGGGCTTGGTGATAGCCGATAGTCTTTTAAAAAACGTTGACAACAAAAAAACTTTGTGTTTAGGTCTAGGCCAAGAGATAGTTATGCCCAGCTGATTTGCCTACCTCCAAATCACAAATGAAGGCAGGGTGGGGTAAATCCACCTAAACAGAGAATCTAGAAGAGCTACAAGAAGGCAGTTTCATATGGTTCGACTTGAAATCGTGCTAGGTGTTTTACATTTTATCAAGTCATTTAGTTCACAAAATAGCTTCAGGATATAATAATTATTGTTCCCATCTTACAGAGGTAGAAACTGAAGTTCTAAAAGGTTACATTGACCAAGTTACAAGCTGAAAAGTAAAAAGTCTGAATTTGAGCACAAATCTTGTTCTCAAACCTGAGCTCTTTCCAAAGCTGTTTGAGAATTATTCAATGAAGTGTATTGTACGGAGAAATAAATAAATAGAACAAAACAAGAAGTATTTTACCTTTACCAAAAAAAGGAAGGGAAAGAAACTTATGCCTGCAGTTTTCATCAGTAATTCCAGCATGGAAAACAAATCGATTTCTAATTTGGCAAAGCCCTCTTAGTGAATTGATAACTTGGCTTGGATATGAGAAGCCATGTAAATATAATTCAAAAATTATGAGCCATTGAGAAATAATTTCTAGATACAAAAAAAGTCTGAGGTAACCATCCATTTCTCCACACTACCACAATGAAGGTCGCTTCTCTTTTTTCAGGGCTAAGTTCCAAAATTTATTAGCCCTTTAATTCCACCTCCTCAATCATGATTCACACAGTTTCATCTCCTACAGACTCTGAGGAGGTGCAGGGTATGAGTGGGTGGCTGTGTCGTAAGTCCAGCTCACTCCCCTATCCCTTGTTTCCTTTTTTCTCTTGTCTTTTATTTATAAACCACGAAAACATCTGGCCAATTTACTTAAAGTCCAGATGTTTTGGCCCACTTCACATTGCTAATTTTTTTTAACTGAATGTATTGGCTTTATGATAAATATAGCCTGAGTGAAAGTGAGTGAAGGTTATCAGCTGATGGAAAATGAAACTAACTGGTAATCAACAATCAACATCTGCTCCTCATTTTTCTATTGCTTCCTGGCTCAATCAAAAATAACGTGCCTAATCTTAGAAGAAACTCCCAGAGAAGTGGAAATCACTTAACAGTCTTTACCTTATCTGCTTCACAATCTGAAAGAAGCTAAACACAGCCAGAATCAAAACAGTATCTATATCAGAGAAATGGCCTAAGTGAGACTCACACATTGCACCATGAGGATCAAATTAGGATAAGAATTCAGATCCAAAGCTGTCAAAACCATTTTGTTACACCATCTCCATCATTTATGTTTCCTTTCCAACCTACCCCAGCATGTTCATGATAAACTTCCTTAATTACCTTGGTACAGTGCCATCCTGGGGGAAGTAATAAACAAATGCCTCTCAGTGCTCTTGGACTGAGAACTGAGGCGCCAGTCCAGCCTTCAGATGCCCTGGTGCAACAGGAGCCTAGTCCTATGTTCCATGGTGACTTTAGTCCTTGACCTATATCCCCGGCCTAAACAGACAATATGGTAACCAGATTGGTATTAGAGAGATTTAAACTAAATCACACTTTATGCCTTTTCATACATTTTAGAGCTAATAACACACATAATGAAATATGTGTGACCATTCCTAGCAAGCTCAGATTAATTGATTTCTGGTTAGTGGCTTAAAAGTCAATACTTTTTTCCTTACAGATAGAATGCTATAGTAGTAGTTGTAAACTTAGAAACACATTTAATAGCACAAAAACACAAAACTTGACCACTAACAGTCACAAAGAGAAAGCACAAATATATGATTTTGTAAGTTACAAGTAATATAGAACCTAAGACATTTATTTTATCTATTTACCTATTGCCTATATTTCCTATGCAGCTATTGCCTATATTTGACCATTTTTGAACTATAAAAATAGCAATTTCAGATGGTTCAATCCAGTATTTGTTTAGCATTGCAAGACAAGTTATTCAATTTACTTTTTATTAACTGCATGCAAGTATAGCTTACAAGCAGAAAGTGCAAAAATCATACATTTATGGCTTTACTTATCATAATTCAATACACCCAGAAAACTGCAACCTGGGTCAAGGAATAGATCATGACCATCCTCTCGGAAAACCTCATCACCCTTGTGTACATGATATATTTCTTTATTTCTTCAATTGTTATTTAATTTCTCTCAATAATGTTTTATCATTTCTATGCATATACCTTGCACATATACATAGTTTCTGTATGTGTTAGTATATTTATTACTAAGTGTTTGATGGTTTGCAATGCTCATGTAAATGGTATTATTTTATAAATTTCATTTTCTGCTTATTGTTGGTATCAGAAAAGTAATTGTTAGTATTAAATTTATAATTCTAAATAACCTTATTTATTAATTTAAATATTTTGTCTGTAGACCCTTTTGGATTTTCTACATAACTGTCTTCTCATCTGTGAAAAATGAGGTTTGCTTTTTCCTTTCTAGTCCTTGTATCTTTTCTTTTCCTTGTCCTATTTTACTGGCTAGATCCTTTAGGAAAGTGTTAGTAGAAGTGGTGATAGTGGACATCTTCGTTCCTTGATCTCTGGGAGAAAACTTTCAAGACTTTGTCATTAAGTAAGATGCTTTCTCTGGGCCTTTTAAAAATATATTCTTGGTATCATGGTTAGACTGGCCTCATTAAACAATCTAAAAAATGTTCTCTTTCTATTCTTGGGGGAAATTGTATATAACAGAAGTTACTTTTTCTTCTAATGTTTGGAAGAATTCACTAGTGAAGTCATCTGGGGCTGCAATTTTTGTTTTGAAACAGTTTTCAACTATGAGTTTATTTTGTGTGTGTGCCAGCTTTGACGATTTACATTTTCCTGAGAAGGTGTCCAGTTCGACTAACCTGTCAAATGTACTAGCAAAGGAATGTTCATTATATCCTCTTATGATTATTTTAGTATCTGTAACATACATACTTTTGCTCTGATATTGGCTAGTATATCTTCTTTATCATTCTATTTGTCCTTTGTCTGGGATTTACTAAATTTTTTATGCTCTCCAAATAATCAAACTTGCTGATTCATTCTCTTGTGTGTTGATTTTCTTTTTCAGTTCTGCCCTTATCTTTTTTATTTCCTTCCATATAGTTTTCTTAGGTTTTTCTAACTTCTTGAGATGGATGAATAAATTGTTGCTGGCCTTTCTTCTTTTCTACTATAAAACTGTAAGTTTGCCTTTAAGCATGGTTTTAGTTCTATCCTACAAGTTTTATTGTGTAGTAATTTTTTTATCTTTCAATTCAAATATGTTCTAATTTCCAATATCTTTTATCAACATGCTATTGAAAAGTTATTGCTTTTTTCAAATATTCGGACACTTTCTAATACGTTGCTAATATTCCACAGTGGTCAAAAGACACAGTCTTTGCTCCATGAAAACTTGAATTGAAAGTATAATTTTTTCGTAGTTGGGTTCAGCGTTCTATATATGTCATCAGGTCAGATTTACTAATCACATTGTTCAGATGCAGATTTTTGCATGTGCATTCTCTATTTCTGAGAGAGAAGTATTAAAATATTTTAAAGTCTTCTCTGGTAATTTCAAATTTTTCTATTTCTCTTTTTAGTTCTGTCCATTTTTGCTTTATATATCTTGAGGTTTGTTATTAGGTGGATACAAATGGGATATTTTTATGGCTTCACATTTCTTTTTATTTTTAGTGATACTTCTTGCCTTAAAATCAGTTATATCTGAAATAAAATCATTGCTTCACCTTTCTTTTACTTGAAGTTTGCATAGTTTATCATTTTTCATCCTTTTATTTCAGCCTCTCAGGTCCTTATATTTAATATATATTTCTTCTAAGCAGAAAATAATGGTTTACAGAGTCTGATTTTGTTTTTTCTTTTAACCAAGTCTATAGTTCATTTACATGTAATGTAATTACAATTTGTTTTCTATTGGTCTCAACTTTTTCTGTTCTTATTTTCTTCTTTCTTTCTTTCTTTTTTTTTTTTTTGAGATGGAGTCTTGCTCTGTCACCCAGGCTAGAGTGCAGTGGCACCATCTTGGCTCACTGCAACCTCCACCTCCCGGGTTCAAGCGATTCTCTTGCCTCAGCCTCCCAAGTAGCTGGGATTACCAGCACCCACCACTGTGCTAGGCTAATTTTTGTACTTTTGGTAGAGATGGTGTTTCACCATCTTGGCCAGGTTGTTCTCAAACACCTGACTTCATGATCCACCCGCCTTGGCCTCCCAAAGTGCTGAGTTACAGCCATGAGCCACCATACTTGGCCTTATTTTCTTCATTCTTACATACTTTTGGATTGAAAAAGAATTTTTTATTATATCCACCCCACTGTCATACTGTTTGACTACTCTTGTAATAGTAGAGGCTCCCAGTGGTTAGAACATCCCTCCTAGTCTTACTGAAATCTGATATAAATCAGTACTTTTTCCACTTTTTGTGCAACACAAGGGACTTAGTATTCTTGAACATCTTTCACCACATCCCATCTTATATACGGTTCTTAAATTCTCCAGATAATGTTTAACCATGCGAGACATTATCATTATTGATTTTCATAGTCAATATTTGTTTAGATTTGCCCACACATTTACCATTCTGTTACTCTTCATTACTTCCTGAGTCGCTAAGTTGCCACATGAAATCATTTTCCTCATTCCAGCATGGCTTCCTCTCATACTTATTCCATGATGAATCTGCTGGTAATGAATTCTCCTGATTTTTAATTTAACTGAAGAAAGTATTTTTACCTTGATTTGGAAGACATTTTCACAGGATACTTTCTTTCAGCACTTTGAAAAATATCATCTTTTTTTTTTTTTTGCGGAACAACTGACTGTCTGAAAGAAATACCGAATGAATAAACAAACAAATCAAAGAATGAAGGAATGGAGTTATGTCAATAACAAATCCCATTTCCCTCAGAAGAGGGAAAGGAAACCAAAAGCATGTAGGGATGTGCAGGTGCTCACACACACAAGCACTGGACACACGCACACACACAAGAACAAGGTCACATGTTCAATGCATTCATCAATAAATTCCTTAGTTTATTAAATGATTTATCTTTCTAATTAGAATATTGCTATACTACATACTGTAATACAAAATGTGTAAACATGTTCTAATTGTCCTTGGAGAGTTATAATCTAAACTCTGAGAAGTATATACTGACTTCTTTAAAAGGTAATTTTAGGCTGGTTTTGGTGGCTCAAATCTGTAATCTCAGCATGTTGGGAGGCCGAGGTGGCTAGATAACCCCAGGTCAGGGGTTCGAGACCAGTCTGGCCAACGTGGTCAAACCCTGTTTCTACTAAAAATACAAAAATTAGCTGGACTTGGTGGCAGCCACCTGTAATTCCAGCTATCGGGAGGCTGAGGCAGAAGAATCACATGAACCCAGGAGGCGGAGGTTGCAGTGGGCCTCGGCAGCAGAGTGAGACTCAGTTTTAAAAAAATAATTAAAAAAAAAAGTGATTTTATACTAATTTGGACCATTGCTGGAGTGCAAGCGTGCAATCTTGCCTCACTGCAACCTCCACCTCCCAGGTTCAAATGATTCTCCTGCCTCAGCCAATCCTGAGTAGCTGGGTTTACAGGTGCCCACCACCATGCCCAGCTAATTTTTGCATTTTTAGTAGAGACAGGGTTTTACCATGTTGGCCAGGCTGGTCTTGAACTCCTGATCTCATGATCTGCCTGCCTCAGCCTCCCAAAGTATTAGGACCATAGACATGAGCCACGACACCCGGCCTAGAATATTCCTAAACTCAAGAGTAGCTGCACCACAGAAGCCTCTTAGAAAACTTGAAGGCCAATTGAGCCAGGTAAACAATTCCTTCACAGTCACTCACTGATAAGCACCTATCAATGTAGTGGTCCAGGGAGATAATGGTTTACAGCCTTAACACTGTTCATCACCAAACCATATATGTTCACTCTCTGAGATCTCAGTCTAATAGAAGAGATCTCACCATAAAATGTTAGAATTACCTAAAGCAGAGGTCACAAAGTCACAACATGGCAGACAACTCTTAAAAATAACCAGATTTCTCATAAAATGTATGCTTATAACTTGTCTTGAAAAATTGGGAGTTCTGGTAGAACTAGGTAGCATGACTTCCATCTACTAAAGGTAAGAAGACACAGTAACCTCCTTCCTCCACAGGCAGGTTATGGACTCTCAGGTCACATGTTTGGCTTCCCTGAACACTTGAGGTTGTGAATCCCATAACTGTTTTTGAAGGTCAGTTAATATGTATGAATTTGGCTGCAAAGAGCCAGAGGTCCTGAAAGTGTCTCGGAATGGACAGACAGGCAATACATTTAGAAGCAGGAATATTTGAGCTTTGCTTCAAGCTCCACGCACAGGAGCTGGCCCATGTGATCAGTCCTCATGGAATTACAGAGTCATAGAAATTATTTAAATCTTCCCATCTCTCCCCACATGTAACAACCAAGTTTTCCTACACCCAGTATTACTTTAATGCTCAGACGTAATATTAGATTCTATGACACTATTCTCTTTTTCTTATTTACGCATGCTAGTCTTGTCATCTTCCAACATAAATGCAAGTGCATGAAGCAAAGGGACATGTCATGCAGTTTCTTTATTATTCCCAATATATGTTTCTTTATAACACATATTAAATATTCACTATTTATTGAATGGGTCAATTTAAGACAAGCTGCTTCATTTCTCAACATCTCAATTTATTCACTCACAAGAAAAGAATTCTCCTCTGAACCCTCTTAATATCACTTGTATCCTTGAATCTATGTGGCACCCAGTGAGAGATTATTTTGTAGAAATTGCTTTTCTGCCGAGAGCTGCTTCATATATGCAATGTATTGTATTAAATATAAAATTTTGGTACATTTTAGTGAGACATTTTGGTCTAAACACTGTAGAAGGCTCTGATGGTTAGAATAAATCTTGAAGATGAAAAAATTGTGATTTTTGTGTTCGTTTTGAGGAAATCAATGGGCCTGGATGAAATAAATTGCAATAGTGGAGGAAAGTACCTCTCTAGATCTAATTGATGATTTTAGTGTGAGTTGCAAAATGCTTTGTTGAGGAATAGAATACATGAGTATTGCAGAAAAGCCACCAAAGTTGGGTGAAACAAAGTTTCTGTACATCTTCCCCCTCTGTGTTTTAAACCATGAGGTTAAGAAATTAGATCTGAGTGCGAAATCTTATGTTATTTAATACTTTTCTTCCAATAAGCTGGTATGTTACCTCTGCTATTATTATTGCCAAGTTGATTTGAAAACCTGTAAAAGGCATCAGTTAGACTGTGGAAGGCTGACTTAACAAGCCAGCAGCTGATTCAGAACATTTCCCATTTTGCCTAAAGCCGTTTTGTTTCTTTTCATTCAGCACATGTGGCCTGTGCTGAATTAATAAATCAAATTTATTTCATCTGTTAACAAGACTGTAGTAGTTAACGGTGGGCAGAGGGTAGGGAAAGGATAAACTTCCCCAATTGTCATCATAAAGGACTATAGTTACCAGCTTCCTGCTGAAAGTTTCTAAGGAGAGATATCTGTGCCTGCCCAACTCACTGTCTTTTCTTTGTGAAAGCGAATAAATGGTCAGCTCAAAGCAAAAGGCTCCCAGCCCTTAAGAGTCAGTGTTGAATCTGCTCTATTCAGTGAAGATTAACTATTTGCTTATATCCCAGAAAAACTCATTCTGAAATTGCTTTGAAGAGGATAAAAATCCTGGTTAGCCACCAAACACAGCTTTATGAACTACAAATCTGGTCAGGCAAATCAAGTTCTTTTCTTTGATGAAAATAAACCAGGGAGAATGCCAGAAAATCACTGGCATCTTAGCTTCACAGAGACTTTTATTCTGGTCCATGTATTATACTAAAATACCAGGACTACATGAGCTAAGTTACATAGTTATTATATGATGGGAAATTCGAGAGTAAGAGGGAAATTTTAAAAATAGCAACACCAACTTAAAATTTCATGGTAATCATTGTTCACAGGATATTGATTCTAGACCCAGCACCGCATAACCCCTGGATGGTGGAATGAGAGTATCCTTCACTAGTTTTGCAGTTAACACTAAGATACATGGAGCAGAGATCTTGAAATATAGGAATACAGGAATTTAATGTGTTTTGAATAAACTGGCAACTTGAACTAAGAAAAGCACATCAAGGACAGAGGAAATACATAAATACAAGACAAAACAATTACATATATATAAATGGCAGGAAAAAGATTGAGGGGTTACAGTAGATAAGGAGCAGATACCCTATCAGTAAGATAAAAAGGCTGAGTGCATCCCAAGTAGGAATCATGAAATACCACAACAGAATGGGACCTGAATCCATTCTGCCAGAATTCTGGGTCCCAGAAAGAATGAGCTAGAGTGACTGGAGAGAGTGTAGAACATACCTCCAAACACAGTTTTAAGGAACAGTTAAAGTTTTGGCAGTATTCTGTCTCTAAAAGAAATGGCTGAGAAGTGATACTACAGGCTTCATGAAAACAAAAGCCATTAATTCTATGGTAAATTTTCCATCTTCACTGAGATGCAAAGAAAGCCATAGGGATTTAAGCTGTAATGCAGGAATGTATATATTCTGTTCTTGGAATGTATCAAAAGCTTTCCATTTTAGTTCCTTCTCTGAACTTGTTTAATTCAGTCCGGGAAAACTGAGATGTAATCCTGCTGAGAGCTAGAGGAGTGGCCAAGATGATTTTCCCGGGTCCTTTCTAGAGCAATATTTGCGTACTATTTTCATAGGCCTTAGGACCTTTAATTCTCAAGATATCTCCCCTGCATATGAGTTATTAGTCCCTTGTTACAGATGTGTAAACCAAGTCTCAGAGAGATGAAATTCCCCCTCTGACCTTGAACCCAGATTTATCAACTGCAATTCTCATGCATTTTCAACAATGTCATGCTGCCTACAATTACATGAAAATTTTTGGTTGTAAATCCTTGCAAAGAAAAGATGAACTGTGATGTGTTTCGTAAGAGACATTGTCCCCCCAGGCTTCTTTCTTTAAGGCGGAGATCGAGGTAGCAACAGCAAGTGGACAGCCCTCAGGTTTAGGGGAAGTGCTGGTGGATCGGGGGCTTTGGAAAATCATCTAGTTCATTTCTTTCTTCTTTTCTCCAGCACAATCTACTTCTGGGTCAATCATATAATCTATTTATGGAAAACATTTATGTGTGAAATACATAATGCCTATATCTTCCTGAAGGCTGTCTTCGCCTTTTCAATTTGGAATGCTGTTTTTTTTTCCTTTCATGTCTAACGTTTAAGAAGCCAGGCTTTGTCTTACTGTGTAGCATCAATATGCTGAGTCTGATACCAACTGCCTGCATGTTACATGGCTGAGGAAATATCATCATGATTTGTTCACTTGGAATCGATCTGAAGATGTTGCAATAGGTTTTTAAAATTGTTTCCATAATTATTTTTACGTAGAATTCAAAGCTGTCTGTTACCTATGTTGAGAAAAGATCAGTTAAAAAGAAGTCTTTCATTTTTCGCAGAGAAAGCAATGCAACTTGAAATGCAATTTCATCACATTCCAGAGAGATTATAGGGTGGCCATTTCCCAATCAGCAATACAGAGGGGAATTTATTTTCCTTTCACAACTTTCCTTTCCAATGCATATATTACAAACATCCTAAATTAGGAACAGGATCCTCTTTTGAAACCAAGAGAGTCTAGAGCCAATGTCTTGCACCATTTCTCCTGATACAGAACCTGTTCTAAACGTGAATATTGCACTGCGAGCCTCGATGCCTACTCTCCCTCATGGGCACCTGGATTGTAGCCACTGTGAATGACAATCCTTTGAACACTGTGATCCTGGGGAACCCTTAGAAGTGGGCTCCTGCTTCCAAGTTTGCAGCAGCTTCTTTGCACTAAGAATTTATTCCCAGGGCCATTCTTTATTCTACATTTGGGCTGAGTCTCTAGTAAGTACATAGATAACCTAGTAATTTAGATGCGCGATTGACTTATCCCAGTATGGTATGGGTCTGTACATTGTGGCTACAAGTTTATGGGGGAAAAAATGAATCATTGATTTTTTTTTTTATTTCTCCCAACTCTGAGAATCAACGATACTTCATAGAATTTTTTAGGAACAGAAAATAAGCATACATTGAATATCCTTCCCTCAGTCTTTCCTAGTTTGGGGTTAAATAAAAGACTGTCTTTTTATTTTATCTGTAGGATATTTTTCCATAATAACATGTATATCTCTTAGAAATGCCATAGTTCTGGCCAGACGCGGTGGCTCACACCTGTAATGCCAGCACTTTGGGAGGCCAAGGCAGGCAGAGCACGAGGTCAGATCGAGACCAACATGGTGAAACCCTGTCTCTACTAAAATACAAAAAATTAGCCAGGCATGGTGGTGTGCCTCTGTAATCCCAGCTACTAGGGAGGCTGAGGCAGGGAAATCGCTTGAACCCAGGAGGCAGAGGTTGCAGTGAGCCAAGATTGCGCCACTGCACTCCAGCCTGGCAACAGAGCGAGATTCCATCTCAAAAATGACAACAAAAAGAAATGCCGTAGTTTATTTGCTTGGTGGAAGCTGGTTC